TTACGTCATTTGTATTAAACCCAGATCTATTTCTAAGTATGTGCTTCATGCTGTGGTGAAACATATTTTGCCTTTTACCTTTGTCAGTTTGTAATGAGAGGATTTCCTTTTATCCTATGTAGCCAGAGAGCCCCTGATTTATCATCTCAAACACAATAAACATGCTCCTGAAGGAGAAAATAATAATAATAAATAAAAATAAAATAAAAAGGCTCCCAGATGTTTCCTCCTGGATCCATCGTGTGAGTGGGCACCCACCCAGCAGAGAAATCCAAGGGTAGAGAAGCCTGTGGGTGATAGTTTTCTTCTGATCTACGCACAAGGACACATGTGTAGCTGTCCCATGAACTTTGGAGCATCTCATCCATTTCCTGGGATAACCCCATGTTTGTTCAGTTGGAGAAAAATCAGGTCATGCCCTTGAGATTTGTGTACTTGTCTGTGTTGTATTTCAATAAAAAGTTTTTTTTAAAGCACTCCACAACTCTGAAGTAGGTAGCCCTATGTTACCAGAAATTGAGGAAAACTGAGGCTTGGAAAGTTTAAATGACTTGGCCAAGTCATGATCAGTAGCCAGTGGAGCTGGGATTCAAAGCCAGGTCTGTGGGTGCTCTCCCCCTCCTGACTGCTCGGTGCCCCCTTCTCCCTGCTGCTCCCCCATCAGTGCTAAGATGGCCCATGGACCACTTTGGATCCCCAAACCCAAGTTCTTTGTCTCTACTTGGAATATGAGGCTTCCAATTCTGTCCTATTTCTGCTCCCAAGAAACGGCCATTGTCACAGCACCAGAGGGGCTGTGTGGTACATGTCTCTGTGAGGACCCAGGACTAGGAGGCCAGAACCGGAAGGAACAGGACCCCTGCTCTGAGGCCTGGCCTCAGGCTCATCTTATTTAGAGTCTTGATTCCCACACGGGTCTGGGCCTGACCCCCATCAGCCAAGCTGTCCTTTGAGTTTGGGGATTTTGTTCCAAGTTGGAACCTATATGACAGCAGCTGTTGGGACATAGTTGATGTGTGAAAGTCCACTCTGAGTGTTTTCCCTGGTGTACCCCTGGCCTGGACATTGGGATCTGGAGTCTGCACTGACAAGCTGGGTGTGTGTGACAAGGACCCAGAACCTGGACTCTCCTCTTTTCTCCAAGCCCAGTTCCAGCCCCTTAGATCAAGTCCCACCCAAGATGGATGCCTAATGAGGGAGGGCTAGAAAGCCAGATAACAGGAGAGAAGCGGGTACCAGGAGATATTTATTTTACTTTCAGTGAGGCTGGGGTCAGAACACGACAGCAGAAGTTGCTGGGGGAGGCGCAGAAAAGGGTGAAAGTCTGGCCTATGGCTTCCTCCCAGGCTTGGATGGCTTCTGGGAGAGGACTGCACACTCAGAAGGTGGATGGCAGTGCGGGAGGCTGCTTCTGGTTGGTCAGACTGGACAGGAAGGACGCCAAGCTGGCTAATGACCAGGAGAGTGGCACTCATCTGACTCAAGCAGACTCTGGAGGGATATTAATGGGGAGGCACACCTGCCATTCTCCAGGGGGGGTTGTTTCCAACTTCCTCTGCCCCACACAGTCTTTCCACACCCCTCAGCAGTACTGACATCTCCTACTTGCTGCACCCCATGTGGATGCCAAGTCTCTATCCCAGAGCCGGAAGCCTGAAGGGTTTTTTTTGTATATATATATTCGTTATTGAAGTACACTCAGTTTACAATGTTGTGTCAATTCCTGGTGTACAGCACAATGCTTCAGTCATACATGAACAAACATTTATTCGTTTTCATATTGTTTTTCACCATAAGTTACTACAAGATATTGAATATACTTCTCTGTGCTCTACAGTATGAACATGTTATTTATTTTATACACATATTAGTATCTGCAAATCTCAAGCTTCCAATTATCCATTCCCACTACCTTCCCACCCTTATGGTAACCATAAGTTTGTTTTCTATGTCTGTGAGTCTGTCTTTGTTCTGTAAATAAGTTCATTTGTCTTTTTGTTTGTTTCTTAGATTCCACATATAAGTGATATCATATGGTGTTCACTTACTTACTTCACTTGGAATGACAATCTCTAGGTTGATCCATGTTGCTGCAAATGGCATTATTTTATTTATTTTTTGTCACCGAGTAGTATTCCATTGTATAAATACAACACAACTTCTTTGTCCAGTCATCAGAAGCCTGATCTTGACCTTCCTGGACTTTTCTCGTGTGTGTTGTGGTCTCTTCCCCACACAGATGTTTCCCATATGGGCCTGATCTCCTCTTGATTCTACCTCCCTCCAGATCTGGCCCCTTTCCCTAGAAACCTGCCTAACTGCCATCATAGGTACTAGCAACACTTTCCCCCTTTGACCAGATCTTGGCCTCCAGGGCCAATTTCATTTACTAACTGCATTTCCTGGCCTTTCTCACTCCTCTCCAGCCTCAGGACAATTCCAACCCCGACCCCCAATCCCAGCGTCATTGGCTTTGGATTTCAGACAGGGACCTGATGGGGAACCACCCCCAGTTTCATACAAAGTTCTCATTATTCACCCACCACCCAGCCCAACCCCACTGCTCCAGAAAGAGGCACCCATGGCTCACAGGGAAGAAGGGCAGGGGGCTTCATGGGAGAAGGGCCTTGAGAAGTTAATGCTCACACCCCTAAATCTTGTGGCCAGTTCTCACTGAAGTTGGTGCCTCTGTACCTCAGTGTCCCCCTGGAAGACCTCAGGGAAAAACACACATGATGCTAACACTGCAGTTTGGGTTGTGGCATGAAGATACAATATAGGTCCTCCATTCTAGAAGGGGCCAGACCAGACCCTGGGCAACATTTTCCAAGAAAATGGTTGAGAAGAGACTCTTGAGCCCCTTCCCCACAAAAAGGATTAGAATTTGGAGATAGAGAGAAGGCAGGGCTTGGGGTGGGGGGTACTTTGAGAGTGTGCAAGCCCTACCCTCAGAGGGAAAGGCCTACCTCCAAAAGGTCAGGGACAAAAGGCTTCAAGGCTCAAAGAGCTGCATGTGTGCCCAGTGTTTAGAGGCTGTGCCCACTGGAGAAAGTGAGTGGCCAAACTGTAGGGGTCAGGACGTTCCCATTCAGGGAAGAAGGAAGGACAAGTGGTTGCACTCCAGGGGTGTCAGGACCAAGGATGCCCAAGCCTGGAACTGGTGTTTCCATCCCTCTTCCCATCCCCAGCCTGAAAGAGTGATGGGGCTCCTATAGAGAAACCTATGTCGAGTGTGTGGGCTGAAAACTGGGGTACATGATGAGGCAGAGAAAGCACAGACGCTGCCATAGGGCCCTTAGAGGGGAAACTCCAAAGAATCCATGAGAGCTCCAGGGAGAAAAAAGAATGGACTTCAAAGACCTAGAGGCCCAGGGAACACAGTGCTACCTTGTGACAGTGCAGTCAGGAGAGTTAGGGCCCCGTTTTCCCTTGCCTGCCCCCCAAAGTCCTACACCAAGGGGATTAGTCACAGCATCTGGCAAGGGAAGGGGAGGAAAGACAGCAGTTCTAACACTGTCAACTCCATTTGGCCCCAGCTGCCACTTCTGGCCAAGCAGGAAGCCCACTTGCAGCTAGCCCTCGCTGGAGAGGGGAGATGCCTGCCCTCGAGGTTCTGATTACTACTCCAGCTAGACATTTCTGTGTCCCAACTAAAAGTGACTATAGGACTTACCACCTGAGAATGACCTAGAGAAGTCATGGGACTGCCAAGATTTTCATCCAGGCACGAGAGAAATTCCTCCACTGAATACATTTTGTAAGACAGTGGGAGATAAATACACTTGCATTCAATTACGTTCCAAAAAGTTATTCTTGTTTCAGTCCTGGATGTAGATGCAGAGCCAAGCAAACAGGACTGACAAAAGTCAAAGGATGCTTGACGATATGCTGTTTAATCTGACCCTCTCAGTTTACTGGTGCCGGCCTGTGATGAGGAGGAGGAAGAGGACGAGGGGGAGGAGGGTGATGGTGATGAAGGTGATAGTAAACCCATGGGCTTGTATTTTGCCAATCCCAGCTCCAAATCCTTAAATCTTAATAATTTAATCTTCACAACAGTCCTAACTTATTGAGGAAAGGAGTTAGTGTTGACCTAATGCTGGGCTTGCAGAAACAGGAAGGATGAGGAGGGGGTGCAGAATCAAGCCATGGACTTAACCCAATCTAATCTACCAGGGATCATTCCAACCCTCCTTACTGTCAGGTACCCTTGACCAAGCTCAGCTTTTGTTCATGAGGTTCCACCATCTACTCGATCTTCTCCCCCTACCTGCCCACACCTCAGAGCCTACCCGCCCCCAACTCAGCCCTGACACCCTACAGCTCTGAGCTAAGCAGATGCCCTTATTTGCAGATGGAGCAGGGACCCTGCAAAGGGAAGAGAGTTATGCAAGGTCATGCAGCAGAATTAAGTCTCTCTGGGCCGCATCGGATTCTTTGAGGTAGTGATGTGCAACAGCTAACTTTTACAGGTGCAGTAGGGCATGGCAGCAGGTGGGGGTCTCCGTGCACTGGGCTCAGGGGCTCAGGGGCTGCGGGGTGGCACGGAGGGATAAGGCCAGGGCTAGATGAAGGTGAGGTGAGCAGAAGCAGGGACACTGCAGCTTTCCTTGTGCTCTTCAAACTGTTGCTCCAGCACCTCCATGTAGAGCTTGTGATAGTGGTCAACCTCCTCCTCAGTGGGCTGGAGGCACTGGGGCGCTGGGGTGGGGTGGCCCACTGCAGGGAGCAGGGAGGTGCAGGTGAGGGCAGAGGCCTCTGCTGCCCACACGCTGATGGCAGCCTTCTTCCCTGGAGACGGGCACTCACTCACAGTGGTGATGGGCCTGGCAAAGGGCCCCAGGCCCCAGGAGTTGGCTGAGAAGAGGCCCCGGCCCCAGAAGATGCAAGGAGAAAAGCCCAGGAGCTTCTTGAAGGTGGTCTGGCACAGATACTGCCAGGAGTCCATGGCAAAAGCCTTAAGTCTGAAGATATCATTCTCCCCAAAGGAGTACACAGGCACCAGGGAGGCACTGGGAAGGGCCGGCAGGAGAGGAGGGGGGTCAGGCCAGCGGCTGTCAGCCTGGCCCCAATTCCCCACACACACCTCATGATTCCACTTCCAAGGCCTTTTGAAACAAATGGCAATGGCTCCAAAGAAAGATCGGGAAGAAGGGACTCACAATTCTCAAGAAACGATTGTGTACTGGGCCTCCATTTAAGACTTTTCTCATGCAGTCTTTCCAACCACAGCATGGCGGCAAGGTGGGTATGAACCCTGTGTCACAGTTAAGGAAGCGGGCGAGGTTTTATCTCTGACATAGTGCCGTAAAAGAATTTGAACCAGGGGCATCTGAGCCCCAGGGTCCTGGGATTTGCACAGTGACCCTGCCTCTCTCCACGTGGGAGGAAGCCGGGTGGATGGGCACAGTGCTTGGCACAGAGGAAACAGACAAGGGCAGCCACGAGCCCTCTGCAGGTGTGGACACAGTGTAAGCTCTGGGACACACAGTCCCACCTGCAGGGATGCGGGTGTGTAGGGATGGAGAGCGTAGATCCTCGGGTGCACTGTGACCTCTCGTTCATTCAAGGCAGGCCCGGAGGGGCCTCCACTCACTCATGCCTCAGCACTGGCGTACAAAGCCTTTGCGATTCCAGAAAGTGAGGCAGTGCCTCCCTGAAATGGCATACAGGGATTCGTGGGCACCCCCGACCATGATGACCACAGCCTGCCCGAGCTGGGGCTGTGACAGAATAAAGTCCAGGCTGTGGCGGTTCACGGAACATAGTCCTGTGGGCATGAGGACATGGGGGACAGTCATCACCCTGTCCTTGGTTCCCTGGCCCCTCACCCCACCCTTTCGGATAGGAAGGCTGAGTGCCACACCCCAGTCCTCCCAAACTCCCTGCCCCCATGCCCCTGTCAGCGTGCCCTACAGCACCTTTCTGAGCAAGATGCAGGACATTTGCTCCAAAGCTATTTACTGATGCCCACTGTGAGCCTGGCCAATGTTCAAGTCAGGTCCCTGGGCTGGGTGCTGGGTGGGGGACACTCTGGTAGGGGAGGGGGGTGCTGGGGCATCTCTCCCCACTCAGCTCATGACTCACCATAGGACATGACATACTCTCGATAGACTGGAAAGTGGAAGAGGACACGCAGCACAGCTACTGAAGGTCGAAGCCCCAGGAAATGCTGGGAGAAGTCATTGCCCTCGGTGGCAAAATTATAGGCAGTTCCAGTGGCCAAGATCCCATGTGGGTGAGAGACCAGCACATAGTTCTGGTCAGGGGGCAGCTCTGCTGTTTTCACCAGCTTCGGGGGAAGGGGACAGGATGAGGCGAAGAAAGCACAGAGGCAGGATACCAGCTAAAAGAGTTCACTGCACACCACCACACTTCAGCATTCAAGGTCCTCAGATATGGTAAAGGGCATAGTGGGGCCTCTCTTGAACAGGATTCCACCCCCTCCTCCACTGGCTGAAGCTAGGCAGCTAGGACTCAGACTGCAGCATAGGGACAGGAGGAGAGGTGGAGGAGGGAGGGGACAGGGAGGAAGCAGAGAATCTTCTTGCACGGTGAACTGTTTCCTTGATGGGATAACAATCCCTTAGATGTTTCCGAATAGTCCACTTTCTTACCCACTCAGAACCCCGTCCACCTTGGGCAGAGAGTTATGGGCGGAATATTTCTTGGAGGCACCATTTACCCTCTCACTCCCTGGGCCCGTGTTTAGCACTCACCTTGGTTGTGTGTGTCCCAGTCCAGGAAAAACCAGGTTAAGCAGAGAACAGACAAAGACCAGAATGGGGCGAAAAAGAGGAAGAGGAGAAGAATGGGAAAGAAAGGGCCTGGGGGAAAGATGAGAAAGAAAAATGAATTAGCTTATGAAACCTCAGTGGCTCCTGTCCCCTACCCTGACCAGTGATGTCCTTGGCCATGCCCCCGATGGACCACTGGCCCCTCCCCCTCTCTTTGCCATCAGGTGTCCAGGCAAGTGAGGCTCCAGCCTTTCTCAGCCACCCCCGTGCCTTGTTCCCTTGTGGACCACGGGTACTGCTCCTCTCACCCATTAAGAGCAAAGTGAGCACGTATTGGTAAGCGCCCACTATTTCCTGCCATTGTTTCTTCAGGGTTTTCATGCTGGGAGAGGGCAGTGGGAAGGTGGAGGCCTCCAGTAGCTCCCCTCCCCCAGCAGGGCTCCGGGACCCCAGGACAGATGAGGAAGGTTGCTGTCGGAGCCCAGAACCCCAGAAAGGCTTTCTCATCTGAGTGTCCAAGCCCTTGGGGCCTCCTGGGATTGCTTGTAGGGGACGTGTGGACAGGGAGATCCTGGGATCCGGAGTGGCAGAGCCTTAGGGCTCCTCAGAGGGATCTTTTATCTTCTGCATGGTCCCTCTGGGCTGGCCGCTGGGCGGGGCTGGGAGTCAGTGTAGGGCGCGTGGGATGCAGTTCTGTACCCATGTCAAAAAGGAATCTTCGTGGGCAGGATTTGCTGAAGAAGCTGGAGAGCCTGCCAACTGGGTCTCAGCCTACATTGGTTGATCTGGAGTGTGGCCAGCCGGTCCTGGGCGCGCGCCCCAGACGCCCACCCAGGGCCACTGAGACGCGCAGCCAGGCGCACGGACCTCCCCTGTCCCGCACAAACATACAAAACACCGCAGGTCTCTTTACATTTTGAATTTCAGGCCCACCTGCCTTCACAGAGGGGTCCAGTCCAGGCTGGCGGCTCCCTAGGTGAGGAGGAGGTGCCTGTCGGCGGGGACACCGAAGGGCTCCTTGTGCTCTTCGAACAGCTGCGTGAGCGGCTCCCAATAGATGGCGTGCAGCGCGTCCACCTGCGCCCGGCTGGGCCCCCCGGGTTGGCTGGACCGGGATCGGGACCCCACTGCGGGCGAAACAAGAGGAGAGAGGGCAGACTGCCCGGCGAGGCCCCTGTGCTCTCCCCTCCATCCCCCACCACGATTATCTGTGACAGAGTTCAGAGCTGGTGCTATTGCCAAAGGCCAGCCTCGGGGAGAGTCCTTGCGCGACCGGCAGCCAGGATTTCAGGCCCCAACCAGGGACCTTCACCTCCTGGTGCGGAGCGTGCAGGGGCCTTGAGCCTGGGAGGAGCGGGCGGAAGGGAGGGCCGAGCAGCAGAGGCGGCAGAGACCGAGGCTCACCGACGGTGTGGATGGGCATTGAGACGGGCAGGAGGAAGTCCCCGGGACCGTGCACCAGCGGCAGGGCTACTCTCAAGAGCGGCGGCAGCGCTTCCTGTGCCCTTCACACCCAGGAGCCTGGCGGGTTGGGGAACTGCTGGAAGAGCTCATTCTCCCCGAAGAAGACTGGCACCAGGGAGGCCCTGGGGGAGCAGGGGCAAGCGGGAGTTCGGGTCCCTGGGGGCTCTGCCCTCCTCCCCTTAGGCACAGCCCCAGCGAGCGCCACCTGGCCACACGCGGGCTCCTCACCCGTGATCCAGGCCGACTTGACAAATCCCTTCTGATTCCGGATCCGCAAGCTCAGCACTCCGGGATTTGCCTCCAGCGCCTCGAGGGGTCTTCCTGCTGCCAAAATGGCCATCTGGCCCTCCTCAGGCCTGGACAAGAGATAGGAGGTGCTGGCCTTGTCAGAGGACACCAAACCTGGGGGGAGAGCAGAGGCAGGGTTATCTGAGGCCTGCGTCTTCCAGAAAAGAGGGAAGAGGACATTGGGAAAGGAGAGCTGGGACCAGGTATCCCTGGGGAGGCAGGAGGCCAGGTCAGAGGTGACCACAGGGACTGGGGGTCCTGAGGCCCGGCGCTCCCCTCTCACCGGCACACATGATGTAGTCTCGGAAGACAAGGGGGCGGAACCAACAAGGCAGCATGAGCAGGTGGGGCCGGAGGCCAGGGAAGAGGTGAGAGAAGCTGGTGGCCTCTGTGCAGAAGCTGCCAAAGGCCCTGATGACCAGGACCCCGTGAGGGTGGAAGCCGAAGAGCTAGTTCCTGGAGGGATCTAACTCTGAGGTTTTAACCAGCTGGGGGACCAAGGTGCTGAGGTTGGACTTCTGGAGACGATGGTCCCAAGAGCCTCCTCTGAAGCCCGGCTCCCACCCAGCACACCATTCCTGGGGGCCTCACCGAGATGGGGAAGTAGTCACGGAAATGTCTCCAGATGGCCCAGTTGCGGACCCAGGCAGAGTGGCGGCCTCCTGTCCGAGGTGTGATTCTGTCTCCATAGAGCCAGACCAGGTAGAGGACCGCTAGGATCCAGGCCCAGCCTAGGAATGCAAGGAGCAGGGCAGCCAGGAACACCTGGGCTGGAGGGGTGGAGGGAGGGCAGACACAGGGCCCAGAGGTTTAAGTCCCAGGTGTCACCTGTGCCCTACTTCCTAGTTCCCTGCTTCAGGCCCATCTGTCCAACCTACATCTCTTTTGTTCCTTCAGGGATCCCACCCGGAGGCTTCTAGCCTGCCTCCCTCCTGCATGGTGATAGGGAAGCAGAATGCCAGGGGCAGGGGTCCTCAGGCCTTCAGGAACTCACTGAGCCCCAAAAAGAAGACTCACTGCAGGACAGCAAATACTTGGAGGCCCCGGTGGAGGCAGCTGGAGGAGTCACACAAGGACCTCTCTGGCTCTGGAGCACACCCTCTCTTGGCCCAACCCACTGGCCCTGGCCCCTGGCCTACGTTCTGCCCTTGTTACTCAGCCCCCTCTGGTGACCTGCACATCGGACCCTGGTGAGCCCCAGCAAGGAAGGGTTAACCACTATTTGGGCTCACAGGGCTGTGTCCAATAGGACCCAGGGGAATGACCAGGGCCCTGGCTTGAAGCTTGGAGGCGAGGCCTGTGTTTGGACTCGCGGGGCTCAGGACCTTCGGCCTCTGTGAGCAGCAGGGCTAGCAGAGGTCTGGGGAAGTGGGGGGTGGCTGTGTGTGTACCAGCAGTAGCAGGGCGCCCCATTAGTCACCGGGGCCTGGCCCCTGAGGGGTAGATGACCTGCAGGAGGATTTATTCCCTGAGGGGCAGCTTAGGCCGCTGCGGGGAGGGCTTTGTGAGGAAGGCTACCGACTGGGAAAGCCCTCCAAGTGAGGGCCCACTGGGCCGGGGGCACAGCCTCCAAGTGGGCTGGGCCGGTCCTCACCGCCTCCACGACACTGCCCAACACTGACATGGGCCAGTACCTTCTCTGGGTCAGGGAACTTCACTAGGTTTTTCCCTTTTAATTTTGATTTTCATTTACGTAAATTTTTTAATTAAATTTTTTAAAATTTACATAATTTAGGAAAGTTACTTTCCTTTTACAGTTTGTATAAAATATTGGCTATATTCCCATGTTGTGCAATCACCCTCTTTTTGTTGTGACTGATCATTTGTTTATTTAATTGGTTCACATTATTTATTCACACATAATACACCTAGTTCCTACTTTTTATCAGCGGGACTCCAGAACCAATTTAGTGCTAACATATTGTTAGAACAGTGTTGTTAGAAATCACCGACGCATTTTCTTCATGAGGTTTAGTATTGCTGGCAGCCACTTGCGATAAAAATTCGTGAATTATACTGTATTGCTGCGGTAAGAACCCGGAAATCACTGTCCTTATCAGATAACAGATCGTCTTCTTGTACAATACATCCTTCAGTCTATCTTACACCCAGTACGTTGTGCCTACTTCTCTGCCACCCCCACATTGCCCCCTGCCCCCGTGATGTCTGCTAGCTTGGAATGTGACTTCTTTTAGGGACATCTGACACACACCCCTCAGGAGCCTCTGTCACATTCTCTCCTGGCACAAGTCACTTTCCCTCCATCACGGTGATTTTTGATTAAGGTGTCCCACACTCTGTAAGCGACAAGAAGAGAAGTATTGTGCTCATCACCGCAGCCCCTGTGACGGGTACCCGGTGCACAGGAGATGTGCCTTAAATGCATGGTGGGTTGGCAGGAGACAGGACAAGCCAGCTTCCAATGCCGGAGGCCTACTGCTCAGACTGGCACACACTTTGTCCCTGTTCCCTGCCTCACTCTCATGCAGCATCTCTGTGCAGGGACCTTGTGCCAAGAGGTGTTTTTCTCCTGTCCCTGCACAGCCCACTTCTGTCCATGGAGCATGGGATGAGGGTGGCACGGGCCAGGGGGAGATGTACTTAAGAATCTGGCCAGAGAGATGCCTAGTCCACCTGGAAAGGTGACCTACCCAGGTAGCCAGCCCCTTCCCCTAGAAGGAAGGCTTCACGCAGAAGTCTGGGCAGGGGGAAGGAAGGAGGGGAATCTAGCTGTGGATGGCAAGTGAGGTGTAGAGGCAGGAAATGTCCTAGGATAGGTGAACAGGTGTGTTTGATTTTTAAAAGGCTTTTGTAAGGGACAATGGGAGATGAATTCAGTAAGTTATTTGATAGAGGCTGAGGCCAACTAAGCTAAAGGGGCATGGTCTGCTGTCCTCAGGCTGCCTCCAGGGTCTCAGTAAGGGCTTGATGCTACTCCTGAGGCTAGAAGCAAGACCAGCTCTTAGAAGGTGTCTTTTCAAGACTGCTTCCCATCCCCCTCTTCCAGGAAGCTTTCTTGGGTTGACCCTCCAGATTCCTCTCTCCTGATCCTGCCTAGTTACAAGCTGAGGTCCAAGAAGCCGCAGTAAGTTCCAGCCCGTCTTCCCTCATAGAGCATGCCCCCAGGGGGACTTCATTCCCCAGCACTATCCCTGGAGCCCAGCTCGGGGCTATGCCACCCCCACCTGTCACGCAAAGGAGAAGACGCCAGGGAGTGAGGAGAGGATCAAGGCAGAGAGCTGGGGGTGGGGAGCGCAGCGCGTGGAGTGCTGGCTGCGCTTTCATCTGAACCTGACACGGGAGGTCCTTTTTTCAGTCTGGCAATGAAGGGCAGTTAGACATGGGATCCAGGGAAGCTTCTAGGCTCCCACACTGCTCTAAAACCATGTTTCTGCCTTTTCTTCTTCTCTATTCTTTTCCTTTGGAGTAACCCCGGGTCTCCTGTCTAATCTGGGTGGAGGGAGGGATATGGGATCCACAGGTGGATGAAAGAATAAATGGTCTCGAGAGTTACAAATCCTCCTTTATTGAGAGGGATACTGAGAAACAATAATTTATTACCTGGCGAACCCCCAGAAGCCCTCTTCCTGTGAACCCTTGGGGGCTAAGGGGCGGGGCTGGGGGCTCCATGAGCTTCCTGAGGGCCACGTGGCAGTGGGCAGGGGTGAGGCGACACATTCAGTCCCAGGCACATGGAACATATACCCAGGAGGCGAGGAGCCGGAGAGACCCCCTCCAAAGAAGGAGGCACAAAAAGGCACAATGGCAGGGAAGGCTGGGCAGAGTGGTTGAGTGTCAGGGGTCAACAAAGGACACCATGATGTAGCGAGTGCCCCGAGTGGTGGGCAGCCCTTCATGGTAGTGGGTGAGGCGGCCAGGGTGAAGGAGCCCCCAGCCCTTCCTCGGGGACGAGACCACGCAGTTGTAGCGCAGGAAGCGGCAGCCACCCCCCTGGGAAGACAGAAGGGGACAGAAGTGGAGAGTGAGCAGACGTGGGGACCGGGTGGCAGGCAGATACCAGGGGTGAGAGGCAGACCAGGGGAGTAAGTGGAGGGCCATGGGGTCTCACCTCATAATCCAGGCCCTTGTGGTTGAGGGCGACATTGAGGGTAAATGTGGATGAGTCATGATGCGGCCGCAGAGAGGGCTGCTCATCCGGCCGGTAGCGGACCACGAAATTCATCACCGCCCGGGTCTGTGGGGATGAATGGAGGCGCTGGAGGGATGGCCCTGAGGTCGTGGGTGGCAGGGGTGGTGGCAGGGGCTCTCATTGCGACCTGTGGGCTGCACTCCCACCAGGGCTGCCCTCCTGAGGGTCTCATTCCATGGGGCCCCAAATGCTTCAAGGGCCAAAAAGGTGTGGCCTGGAGACTTGCATCTGAGACAGGATGGAGGAGGGTGGAGGAGGCAGGGGTGGCAGAGGCAGCAGCCCACCTTGGTGTGGTAGCCTGGGAACAGGCTCTCGGTCATAGGCCCCACGTACGTCCTCAGCAGCTGCAGCCACTGGTCCTCGTAGCCCACCTGCTTCATGTGGATGTCCACGGTGGGCACGTTCTCGTAGCCTCCAGCCAACCTTGAGTCCTGTGGGCAGTTGGCACTGAGCCGACAGGGCAGTGCCAGCCTCCTCTCTCCTCTTACTTCCAGGCCTTATAGCCTGTTTCCCTGTCTGGAAGTCTTGACCACTTCTTAGCGCGACTCACTGCTCCTGGTCCTCTAAGTCTCAGATAAGATGTCACCTCTTTTGTGTGAAGTTCCTTGGTCATCCCTCCACGTCTGAGCCAAGGACCTCTCCTGTGATTCCTGCACACTTGGGCTGCCCGTTGCAGCCTTTAGAAGCTGGGTGGCTGCAGTTCCTGACAGCAGGTGAGACCCAAGAGGGCAGAGCTCGACCTGCACAACACATCAAGGCACCTGCACCGCCTAGGTCAGTGGCTGGTATCTAGGACCTGCCCAGTAAGTATTTCTTGAATGAATGAATGCATCTGTGCTCCCAGTGAGCCCCTCCCCCTTGGGGACCCCTCTCTGCTCCCACTCCCTGGATTCCATTTGCCTTCAATCACACCCAGCACCTCCCTCCTCCTGGGGACACTCCCTCCTCCCCTGCCCCAGCCCCTCACCTCGTGCCGGCCTCCTGACCACTGGCCATAGTGCTCCATTTCCTCCACCAGCTCATCGCACATTTGCTCTGACAGCAGAGGGAACCAGTACACATCTGGGCAGGGCTGAGGACAGGCGGGGTTGGGGAAGAACAACAGGCTGGGTGATGCTTCGGGAGGGGCCAGGCAGCCAACAGAAGGGATAAAAAGCAGGGAGCAGAAAGAGAAGCCAGGGGATGCGGGAATCCGGAGGAACGGGATTAGAGTGTGGTGACGGGCCAGGAGAGGCAGGGCAGGAAAAGGTGGGAGCAGTGCTGAGAGTCTTGGAGCCCTGGGTTCTGGGAGAATAGCTTAAAACACCATTTTAGCCATACACCAATATACCCAATAGACAAGAGAGGACTAGTACTCTGATTAATGCTGGGGGGGAGGGGCTGCAGGCCTGTCTGCTCAGCCTTTGCCCAAGCAGAAAACCTTAAGGTAGCTGGGGAAGTCAGTCGGAAAAACACTAATGCAGGCAGTGGACTAAGGGGTGATGGCCGTTGTGGGGTCGGGGTCTGGAGTGGGGCTCACCTGCTCCACGAGTCCCTCCCCTTCAAGGGCCCGGCTGTAGTTCTCGTGAATGTACTGCTCCTTCCAGTCCTGGGGGAGGGGGGAGGCTACACTTCGATCTGTGCCCTCTTTACTCCATCTGCTCCCACCCAGGAAGCCCCAGCCCCTGGACCACCCCCTCCCCAGGGGGCAGGAGGTCACTCGAGAGTGTGAGCATGTGTGGGGTGGGGATGAGGCGTCCTCCTTTAGTGAGGGTCGCATACCTTCTGAGTGAGGGGCTGCCTACTCACCAGGGGGTTGTCGAAGATCTGCCAGAGGTCAGGGTGCAGGTGGTCTGTGTCGTACCGGGAAGTGGCCAGGAGGCGGCCAAATTCATGCTGATTGCTGAGGTGGAGGAAGATGCCCTGGTGTTGCGGGGAGGGTGTGAGCAGGGTGATGGAGAGCGAGGGGGTTGCCTCCCAGCACCCTCACGTTAAGCCCAGGACCCGCTCACCTGGTCCCGCAGAGTCTTACAGAAGGCCATGTCTGGGTCAGTGTCGCTGCCTGAGAACACCTCCCTCTGGAGCAGCTCTGTCCTCAGGGTTTCCCCACGGATCACATAGGCCTGGGATATGTAGGGCACATTCCACACGCCCCTGGAGGCACCCACACTAGGGTCAGCGAGGGGGACGGCCCCCTAGAATTCCACCCAGTTCATCCCGGGAGCCCCTCCCCTTCTCCATCCATCACTGCTGGCTGAGACCCTCTCAGGTCCCACTGCACAGTCCCTACCCCACAACTGCTGTCTTACTGGTGGCCACAAGGAGCCCTGAGACTGGGGCTTTGGGGTAGGATGCAGGCATCTGTCTGGACCCAGATCAGAGCACGGGAGGGGCTGCAGCCCAGACGGGACTCACACTCGCTTCCGCTGCACCAGCTCCACGTAGTCCTCGGAGCGCGCGTAGTACTCGTCAGGGCTCAGGGCTCCCCAGAAGTTGGACCACAGCTTCCCGTGGCGGGACAGCATGGGTGCGATCACCTTCCTGTGGATGGCGGAGGTGACGGCTGAGCAGAGGTGAGCTCTGTGTCCAGGGAAGGAGTCGGGGGTTCCCTGGGACTATTCCAGGGCCCTCTGGCTGAGCCGGGCGAGCAACCTGTTCTCCTCGATGAGGATGCGCAGGGTCTGTGGGTTGGTGATGACGGTATCGGCATCCAGGCTGAAGTAGAATTCACACTTGGGGTCCTGCCGACAACTGTCCCTGGAGGTGACAGACCAACAAAGAGATGAGCTGAAATGGGAGTGGTGGGAAGGGGAAAGCGGAGGTGGGGGACACAACGGGGACAGAGAGTAGGTGGAACTCCCCCTACCCACTGAGGAGAAGAGGAGGAAAGTGGGTAGAAGCACCAGCAAGAGGACAGGAGGGAGGAAAAGACTATGGGGGGTAGGGGTGGGGGGTAAGAGAGGGGGCTGAGGCCAGTGTGCTTCAGGACCAGGGGTTCTCCCATCTGAGTGCGCAGGCCGAGGGGAGGCTGGGTGGTGGACAGAGAGGGAAGGGGGGTGCAGTGGGTGACAGCCCCTCCTTCACTGCTTTCACCCCCCACCCATCCTTGTCCTCCCCTCCAGGCCCAATGCCCACTCACATGGCCATGTCCCTGGCCTCGCCTGGGGTCAGGGTCTCCTCGGGCCCCACTAGCTTCACAGCTGAGAAGTGGTCCTGGAGCTGGGGCCAGGAGTCAGCAATGTGGGGCTCGTGGTACACCTCCTGGAGATGGAGAGAGATGGAGGACACTGAGAGGGCAGGGCAGATGGCGCCTGAGGGGCAGGATGGGGGAAGGCGGTGAGTGGGAAGGGTACTGGAAGGAGTCTGGGGGTGGGGGCAGAAGTTCTGATCGGGGCAGGGCAGGGTCCCTAGGGAAGGAGAGGCTGTCAGTCAGGGTGTCTCACGTTGTTGTGTAGGAAAAGGGTGACCCTGTCGGGGGGATAGTCCAGGAGCAGCAGCCGCTGTAGGAAACGGGGCAGGAATGGGGTAGGTTGTTCCACAAACACGGCCAGAAGCACCCGGGGGGGAGGCTGGAAGATACAAGGTGACTGGGCTTAGAGGAAAGCCCTGCCCCCCCACCTAGTCTATTCTTTACAACCCTGCCAGGTTTGGGGGTCCCAGGAGCTTGGTCCCCTCCCACTGCTGCCCAGCATGCCCTCCCTGCACACTCTGCTTCAGAGTGTTCTCCTACCCGACCCTGGCACCCCTCCTCACCTGCCCCCCCCGGGAGTGTCCTCCGGTCCTGGTCGCAGAACCCACAGCCTCCCTCAGGAGTCCAGCCATTGGGGACATAGTTTCCCAAGTAATTCAGCTGGAGCTGTTGGGAGAGATGGTGAGAGGCTGAGGCAGAGGAGCCCAGGGCCAGATGTGGGGCAGACAAGCAGGGGACAGGACAGAAGGGGGAGCAGCGGACACTGAGAACCTCTCCCAGCACCTCTGCACCTGGGGCTGGAGAGGACTCACTGCTTGGAGGGGCTGGAGGTCTTGGGGGTTGGGGCTCCATCTGGGGTAGGGGCTGTGGGGCCAGGACTGACTGGGGCAGGGGCTAGGGCTAAGGGTATAAGCAGTTGGGGCACCTTAGTGGGACCATTCCCATGGACCACAATGGGAAGTGTGTCGTAGGCCACGTTCCGGATACGCACACGATTCCGACCAAACTTTAAAACCACCTCATCTGGGAAGAAAGGCCAGGATTTAGACTCCCTTGCTCTCGAAGTTGCCAAGCAGCAGGTGATTCTAAATATGGGGGTTGGGGGTAGGGGCAGCGTCTCTAAAGAATGAAGGCCTGTGGCCCGCGGCCAAGAATGGGATACCTTCTCTCCATGAGGGTACTGACTAGGCTGCTGCCACCCTGACGGGCTCCACCACTTACAACCTGTGTGACCTGGGCAAGTCCTCAGCCCCTCAGAGAGGCAGTCTCTCCATTTGTAGCAGGCGGATAACCATTGACCTGCTCTCTGTAGGACTGTGGTGCTAAATGAAATTATAGAAGTAAAGCCGTGGCTGACACTCGGCTACCTTTGATTTTTGAGTCATTACTATTGTCAACCAAGAAGAACTTAAGAGTTAATGCATATGGTCACCAGGGGGGGAGGGGGTGGGAGAGCATAAATTGGGAGTCTGAGATTTGCAAATACTAACTAATATATATAAAATAGATAAGCAAGTTTATACTGTATTATCCAGGGAACTATATGTAATATCTTGTAGTAACTTACAGTGAAAATGAATATGAAAACAAATATATATATGTTCATGTATGACTGAAGCATTGTGCTGTACACCAGAAATTGACACATTGTAAACTGACTTGACTTCAATAAAAAAAATATATGTACAAGGAAAAAAAAGAAAAGAAAAGAAAAGAAGTAAAGCCCTGGCCCACAGCCCTGGCACATGGTATGTTCAATAGATGTTAGGTACCACCACTACTACTTTTGTTACTATTAGCACAGTGCAGCTTACTCTATTAGCCATTCAGGTGTTTGATGGAGTTCACACAAAGGTGAGTAGAAGAAGGCCCAGTTCCACCAGGAGCCCCTCCCAAGTTCAGGACCCCTAGCAGCCTCTCTCATCGCCCCTTCTGATTGCTTTCTCCTCACCTAGAGCCCCGTTGAGGTTCTGAAAGATCCGGGATTTATGATCCAGGTTAAGGCTGAGTTTCTCCTGGATGGGATGAGATGGGCCAGTTAATTAAACAGGGGGTAGGAGGTCATTTCGCATTCTTTTCTCTTTACATCTTCCCCAAAGCCCCTTTATCCTTTCTCTCCCATTCAGCCTGAAGCCTGCCACCCCCACCGAGCTGCCAATGGTGGCCCCATCTCTGCCCCTCCCTACCCTGAGTCCTGGATCCAGGTAGAGCCGAGTATAGAACAGTTGGTCATCATCATCATCTTTGTACTTCCACTGGCGGACAATTTGGTGGATGGTGGGGGCGAAGCCGATGAATCCTATGGCGGGGAGGGAAGGTGCTGACTCTGAGACTCCAGGGTTCCACGGACCTGTCCCCACTCCCTCTCCAGCCTTCAGGCACCTGGAACACTCCACGCCCCACAACTCTTGGACACCCTGCCACTCACCACCAGAGTTGAGGAAGCGCTTCCCCGTGCCCACCTCAGGGTACTGCTCTGCCAGCCCCCACTCGGGCCAGCAGAAGCCCTCTGCGGAGAAGAGCAGACGGCTGCCACTCTGGACGAACTTCTTCAGCAGCTCGGTGGGGCTGCCAGCCAGAATCACATCGTAGCTGGAGGAGGGAGGGGATGATGAACAGGACAGTCACTATGAGCCTCAGAATCCTTATCCCCTCTTTCTGTTCACTCTCCTCTTTCTTCCCATCCCCAGCCCATTTACCTGTCCACAAACATGATGACCATATCTTCCCGGTCTGCGTATTTCTCCATTTCTTTCTTTAGCCACCTGACTTTCTGTCCTCCACCAACCGTTCGGGCTACATCACCCCCTCGCCACTCCTCTCCCAGGCCCAGGGTCTGTGGAGGAGACCCAAAATTCCAGGGAGGGGCTCGGCCACCCAGGTTGTCCCCCCACCCTGACTAGGCTCACCGTGGGGTCCCAGACACCCAGCCCTCAGCCCACCCCTCCCCTAGACCCTCCTCTGCTCCTAGGGGCCATGAGGATGTTCCTCTCCTCACCCGCACGGTGTAGTTGAAAAACTCTGCCGACCGCTGAAAACGCCGGTATCCCTCCGTCTCGGCTGTGGCCACGGTGATCACCAGCAGCTTCTCTGTCACCAGCCAGGAATTGGAACTCGGAACCCACTCACCCAGCTCGTTGCCCAGCGCGCTCCAATCATCTTAGGCCTCCCCTCCCCTCCCTCTGACTCTGCCTCTGTCCCTTACCTCTTTTTCCATTCCCTCTTAAACTCTTCCCACCCGGGGAAACTTCGACCCCAACGGGAGCAGGATGAGAGTGACACCCAGAAATTCGCGGTCAGTTCGCACGAGCAGGCTGGAAACCTCAGTTCAGGGTGGGGAGTGGGCGAGGGGCCATGTGATTCGGCCCTAGGGAGCGCGCTGGGAGTGGAAGAGGCCGGCCCCGACCCTCTCCCCGGCGCCGGCCAGCAGACACGTCGATCCTCAGCCGCTCGGCCCTCCCGGGGTTCTCACCTGGGTTGACGGGGTCGCTGCCCCGGGGACGATCTGCGGCCGAGGCCGCTGGAGACGGTGATAGCAATAGGAGCAGTAGCAGCAGGAGCCGGAGTCCCGGGCCTGAGGCCATGGCCGGAAGCGGGCGGAGACGGCACACAGGCCCGCACGGGGCTCAGGCGGCAAGCCTGGATCCTATCTCCGGAGACGGGCTTTGGGAAAAAGGAGCGGGGCTGCTGTGCGGCCCGCTGCAAGGAGGAGCCGGTCTGGGACTCCGCCCTGGAAAAAAGGCGTAGCCAGAGGTTACAGAAAACTCGAGATGCCGGCGCCCTAGACAAGGAGAGGATTGTCCCGGGGCGCGGGCAGAGCTGAACAAGCGGAGGGGGCGCCCCAGCCGGGAGGCGGGGGAGGGGCGAGGGTTGCGGCCGGCGATTCCGAGCCGTGGACTTTGGTGAGAGCCAGCCTAGCTCACTGCCCGCATAACACTTGAGGAAACTGAAAAGCGGAGAGGGGAAGTGACTCCTTGCGGGTATGGCTGGACGCGGAGGCGGGTCTTTGCCATAGCCCTGCCTTGAACAGCCAGGCGGAAGACCCGGAGAGCGAGGGGGTGGGGGCGCACGGAGCCGGGACTGCGGTAGGGAGGGAGGAATCTGCGGTCCCGGGTTCCAGGGAAGCTGGGGGTTGAGGTTTTGGCAGAGGGTCACTGGGGACCTCTGGGATTGCCCACTCAAGCCTGCACATTTTCTTTGGTAGTCTGGCCCATCATCTCTACTGCCCAGAGAAGCTCCAGGGGCTGCCTTTGTGATGACTGCATCTTCAGGAAGACCAAAAGAAAATGACGTTTCTTTAAAGATCACTGGCACCACCTCTTTAAAATGACCGATTTCGGGGGTCGAGCACAATACATAACTACACTGAGGGCGGAAGTAGTTTTGCCCGTATAAAATATGGCAGAAAGCTTTCTTGTCTCCAAGGGAACATCTCGTAATAAGCCGGGGGGGGATGGGATTACTCTGCGCATGTGCAGGAGCTCATGCCGCCGGAAGTCATGGTGCTCTTACCCAAGCGAGTGACGTAGTACGCGTGCGCAGTAGGGTCTTCCGTCAGCTGCGTTGTGGAAATGGTGGAGAAGAAAACTTCAGGTATGTAAACCCCTGGCGGTGGGCTTCCTGTCCTCCTCTTAAATCCGAACCTGGCCTGGGATTTCCTCACCCAGTTATTATTGTCAGATCTCTTCCCTGGCGCTTGGGTCCTGACGTCGGGGCAGCCCCCAAGCCATACATTCACGTTTTATTCATTCCTGCTAGGGCGCTGGGGATGGAGAAAGGAAAAAGACCATTATCATCCAAGAACTGGCTTTCCGTGAGCGGGGCAGAGATGCAGACCTACCATTATATGTCAGAGTGATACGTGCTATGGTAGAGGGAAGCAAAGCACCTGGGCAAAGAGGAGGGGCATGAGCTTTGGGGAAGGAGGGAACCCAGAAGGTTTGGAGGGAAAGAAAACGCTTGGATTGAGTCTTGAAAGGTAAACTGTTTCGCTCAGTGCAGGTGCGTGGGGACTCATTCCCTGCGGCGGGAACCGCAAATGCCAAGGTAGGAGAGCAAGAAAAAGCAAATCATTTAGGGAGGCAAGTTAACAGTTTCGGAGCTTGCGGAGGAATAGTAAAAGAGGCTGGAGGGCTGGGGAAAGGTACCCTTGAAAGGCATTATATACACCTGCCAAAGAGTTTGAACTCTATGGAGAGCCATCAAGGGACTTTAAGGCAGAAGAGTGAGGGAAACAAATTTATCTCTTAGAAAGGCAGTCTGGTTTCAATGCAGAAGATGGATTGGAAGGACTAGAGCAGAGCTGTCCAGGAGAAGCTTATGGAATCAGAGAATGGTCTTAATCAGCACTGTTCAACATGGTAGCCAATAGCCACATGTGGCTATTGAGCACGTGAAGTGTGGCTGGTAAGACTGAGGAACTGAATTTAAAATTGTAGTCTTAATTAATCTACATCTAAATTTAAATAACCTCACGTGACTAGTGCTTGCTGTATTGTAGAGGGCAAGTCTAGAGATTGGGAGGCCAGTTAGGAAGTTATTGAGTAGTGCAGATAAAAAGAGATGAAGGTCGGAGTACAAATCCAGTCATCTTAAAACTCCTCACTGGATCTCCATAACCCCCACCATAAAATCCCCAAATCCAAATTCCTTTAGACACTTAACGGTAAGACTCTTAATGGTCTGCCTGACTTCATATCCTTCCCCACCCCACCCCACCCACACATACTCTATTTACCAGCCATATAAAACTTTAAAAAATTTATTGAAGGCACAACAGTCTTTCATCCAGGCCTTCCCTCATGCTGGTACCAAGGCCTAAGATACCCTACCCTTCTCTTCCAGCCAGGCTCACTTCTACTCATCAGTCAGGCTGCAGCCTAGACTTACTTTCCTGTGGGAAATCTTCCTGACTACCCCAAGACCAGGTTAGGTGTTTCTATCATGTGCTCTGTAGTACTTTGTACTTCCCTATCCTGGCATATACTGTGCTGTACTTGTTTGTTTGATCATTTATATTCTTCACCTGGTTGTATTCCCAGAACCTGGGGCACCGCCTGGTACTTGGAAAGGAGGCAGTATAGTGCAGTGACCAAGAGGATGTTTTTTGATGCTGGGCAGTTCTGGGTTTGAATTCTGACCCAGGTGCTTAATAGCTGTGTAAACTTTGGACACATTTCTTAACCTCTGAACTCTAGTAAACTAGAGATGATAATGATACCTGTCTCACAGGGTTGTTATAAGGACTAAAGGATTCCATCTATGCAAAGAGCTTGGTACAGGCATACCTCAGAGATAGGCAGGTTCAGTTCCAGACCACTACTATAAAGCAAATGCCGCAATAAAGTGAATCACACAAATAGTTTGGTTTCCCAGTGCATATAAAAAGTTATGTTTACACTAAACTGTAGTCTGTTAAGTGTGCAATAACATTATCTCTTCAAAAAACAACGTATATGCCTTAATTTAAAAATACGTTATTGCTAAAAACAAAAAGCGCTCACCATCATCTGAGCCTTCAGTGAGTTGTAACCTTTTTGCTGGTGGAGGGTTTTGCTTCCATATGGATGGCTGTGGACTGATCAGGGGAGTTGCTGAAGGTTTGGGTGACTGTTGCAATTTATTGCAACAAGACAGCAATGAAGTTTGCCACATAAATCTGCTCTTCCTTTCATGAACAATTTCTCTGTAGCATGCAGTACTGTCCAATATCATTTTGCCCACAGTAGAACTTTCAAAATTGGAGTCAGTTCTCTCAAACCCTGCCGATGCTTTATCAACTCAGTTTATGTAATACTCTAAATCCTTTGTTGTCGTTTCCACAATCTTCACAGCAGCTTCACCAGGAGTAAATTCCATCTGAAGAAACCACTTTCTTTGCTCATCCAGAAGAACCCACTCCTTATCCACGAATGTTTTGTTACAAGATTGAGGCAATTAGTCACATCTTCAGGCTCCACTTCTAATTCTAGTTCTCTTGCTGTTTCCACCACATCTGCAGTTACTTCCTCACTGAAGTCTTGAACCCCTCGAAGTCATCCATGAGGGTTGGAATCCACTTCTTCCAAACTCCTTTTAATGTTGACATTAATCATGAATCACAGATGTTCTTCATAGCACCTGGAATGGTGAATCCTTTCCAGAAGGTTTTCCATTGACTTTGCTTAGGTCTATCAGAGGAATCACTGTCAATGGCAGCTGTAGCCTTATGAAATGTATTTCTTAAATTAAAAGTCTTGAAAGTCTTTAATCTCATTGTACATCTGCATCGGAGCTCTCAGGTGACCAGGTACATTGTCAACGAGCGGTAATATTTTGAAAGGAATCTTTTTTTCTGAGAAGTAGGTGTTGGCTGTTTTATATGGGCGTGTTTGTAGTGCGCCAAAACAATTAAAATAGTAATACAAAAGATCACTGATCATAGATCACGATGGCAAAGATAATCATGATTAAAAAGTTAGTTTTGAGAGAATTGCCAAAATGTGACACAACATGAGCAAAGGCAGTTGGAAAAATAGTGCTGATAGACTTGCTCAATACAGGGTTGCCACAAACCTCCAATTTTTAAAAAACGCAATATTTGCAAAGTGCAGTAAAGCAGAGTGCAATAAACAAGGTCTACCTGTATAGCGCCTGGCTCACAGCCCAGGAAATGTTAGCCATTGGCACTGTTGGTAGTGTTAAGATTACAGGTGCTCAATAAGTATTTATTTAATGAAACAGGGATATTCTGTAGAATCATCAGAACCTGGTGAACAGCTGGTTTGGTAATGAAGAGACGGGTTTATAAGAGCTCCTAGGTTTCTGATTTGGATGTCTGCATAGATGATTCCATTCACTTGAGTATAGAGGCCAGGTATAGCTCAGTGGTAGAGTGTGTGCCTAGCATGCATGAGGTCCTGGGTTCAATCCCCAGTACCTCCACTGAAAAAGAAAGAAAAAAATAGGACAATGTCTTTTTTAAAAAAAGTATATAGGAGAAGAAGCAGAATTGGATGGGAAGAATTTTAATATTTAATATTGAGTTGCAGTGTTAATGGTGTCAGCAGGTAATTTCCTGAATAGCCAGTTCTGGAGCTCAGGAGTCACTTTTGGAGTCGTTTGCTTGGGGGTGAGAGAACCCTGTGTTTGGATTAGAAATCCCAGGAAGAGTGTATAGACTGAGAAGGAGAACAGGGACAGCCATCTCCTTAGAGACAGAGAGTAGCCAAGATGAGAGACTGAGAGGCACAGGCAGAGGTGGAGCAGGAAAGCTTGGGGTCACATCAAGGAAGCACATGAAGGGACCCTTCCAACCCATAGGAGATAGTCAACACAGTCTCAGGCTATGGAGAGCTCAAGTAGACATGCTGGATTTGGCATTAGGAGGTCACTGGGGTCCTGATCGTTAGTGTTTCCTGTTGAATGGGAGTTGGTTTGCTGGGGGTTAGTGGATGGGAGGTGAGGAAGTAAAACATCACGTGGACTGCTCTCTCACAGCAGAGTAACTGTGAAGTTGGGTAGACACGTAGCAGGTTTCTCTGTTGAGGAGAAGGTACCAGTTGAGCAGGAGGGGTTAAAAGTGCAAGAGGTGGGTAAGGACTTGAGCTGGGGGTGAAGGGTTTGGGTTTAGCAGTGGGACTTGGGGGGAGTGCATCCACTTGGAATGGAGGGAGGGAGCATGCAGTTGTGATTGAGGATGGGCTGATGAATGGGCATCTCTACATGGGGTGGCCTTTCTCTTTAGAGGTGGGAAATGAAGTTGCTGTAAAGCTGAGTGCATTAAGGTCCCAGGGGAACCTGGAAAGCCCCAAGTGTATGGTGGTCTCCGTCGGCAGGATTGTGTGATTTCTGCCAGCAGTGAGAAGTCTTCAGGAGGCATTTCATTGGCTGGGTCTAGAATAGGGAGGAAAGGCTGGAGCCAAAGGATTAGAAAACAGGCATGAGTGGCTGAAATGTCAGTCTTAGCTGGGAAGGAAGCAGACCGGAGGGAGTGATGTATTGAGAAAAGGTACAGGGGCCAAGGGCTTGGCAACTAGGATGAGATCAGAGGACAAGGCTCCCATCCCCTGGACATCTTACACACGTTGCCCAGAGTCAAGGCTGACCTAGCTTCTCTCTTCTCTTTGCCCCCATAACTTCTGCCCTCCCCCCCAACTTTTCTAGTTCGTTCCCAGGACCCTGGACAGCGGCGGGTGCTGGACCGGGCGGCCCGGCAGCGCCGCATCAACAGGCAGCTTGAGGCCTTGGAGAATGACAACTTCCAGGACGACCCCCACGCAGGACTGCCCCAGCTCGGCAAGAGGCTGCCTCAGTTTGATGATGATGCAGACACTGGTGAGTGGGGTGGAGGAGGAAAGGGGAAGAGCCTGCCCAGGTCAGGTTTGTAGAAGGACATGGGGCTGGGGGATAGATGTCCCAGGAGCTCTTCTGGCTCCTTTGACTGTGAGCCAACCGCTCTCCCTTTCTGTGTCTCAGTCTCCTTTCATGTATGTAGAATAAAGCAGATAAACTCAGATCCTTCCAGCTCTGACACATGGTTTTAAATTTAGGGAGTGTGGAGATGAAGGAAGGCCTGGATTAGAGAAACGGGCTGCAGGGAAGGATGGTAGAGAGAGGCTGACTTAGAACCCAGGTGGGCACATGGGCAGGGAATGACGGGCAGAGAAGACGGTGTCTCTCTTGGCACGTGCCATGTAACTAATTGCTCTTGACCTCTAGGAAAGAAAAAGAAGAAAACTCGAGGTGACCATTTTAAACTTCGCTTCCGAAAAAACTTTCAGGCCTTGCTGGAGGAGCAGGTGAGAGAGGATCTGGCCGGGGAGGACTCCACAAGGAAGGGATGAGCCTGCAGAGATCCTTGGCCTCAGTAGGTGGGCGGAGGAGTCACAGAACTGGCCCCCTTGTCTCTGCAGAACCTGAGTGTGGCTGAGGGCCCCAACTACCTGACGGCCTGTGCAGGACCCCCATCCCGGCCCCAGCGCCCCTTCTGTGCTGTCTGCGGCTTCCCCTCCCCATACACCTGCGTCAGCTGCGGCGCCCGATACTGTACTGTGCGCTGTCTGGGCACCCACCAGGAGACCAGGTGAGAGGGGCCTTCCCCAGGTCCACACCCTCCTCCTCCTCCCCCCACAGCCTCCTGGACTCCTCGTCTTGGGCGTCCTCTGCCTGCAGGTGCCTGAAGTGGACCGTGTGACCCTGGGCATCCCTGGAGGGAAAGGCCCTCCAGGCATTGCCTGCCTTTGGAGAGGACGTCACTGAAAGGAAGCGCACTGCCCCTGGACCAAGAGAGGAGCCCAGCAAAGCTCAGGTCACATCCTCCAGGGAAGACCAATCTCATTCCCAGGGACAGTGGCAGGGCAGTGGGCCGAGCTCTCAAGTTGCTGTTGTAATAAAAGGTCTCACGCGAGGAGGAGCCTCCCTGTTTGGTCCCAGGGTGTTGTGGGGGGGAAGGTTGATGGGTCACCTGGCTCTCACACTCACTGCTCCGGTGTCTTTTCCTCCTACCTCTCAGTCACCCCTCCCACTGTCTGCCCCTCTGTGTCCCTGACCGTGAAGGATTTTTCCCATTCTCCTGCCACCCCGTGTCTTTGCATTTCAAGGCTGCTGCTTTGTGTCACTATTTTGGTTATTGACTTAGTTCATTTGTTTTTGCACTTTGTTTCTCTGGTTCCTCTGAGTATCTTTGGAGTGGAGCTGGGTCCCCAGACTGGTGACAGGGAAGTGGAGCGAGGGTTGGGGACAGGGCTGGAGAAGAGGAGTATGGGAGGAGCCAGCCCTGTCTTCATCCTCTGGTACTTAACCAAATGGGAGAGACTGAGCCCCTGTCCTTGGTGCCGCCCATCTGAGGGAGTCGTCATCCTTAAGAAGCCCCTCTTACCAAGGAGTGCAGTGTGTGGAATTATTAGCAGCAGAGAAACCCCAGAAATTTCTGGGAAGCATGGGGAGTTGGGGGTAGAGAGGCTCCTGTTCTTGGTGGCTGTGGTTGCTGTCACTGTCGCATGGTTCTAGGACTTCTTCCGCCCACGCCTGCTCTCAGTGGACTGCAAGCTGTAAGTTCGCAAGCGCCTTGGAGTTGCTGTCTTGAGGCCCAGTACTCGTTGGAACATAGCAAAGCAGGTGCTTAGGAAGTATTTGTTGCACAAATGACCTCAGTAAGATATTCATGGGCTCCAGCCAAGTCGGTGTTAGGCACCTTCTCAGGCTCTTCTCCCCACTTTGGGGGACTTTCGTGGGGTTGGCCCACATGTTCCCAGTGTCTTCCTGAGTTGCTGCTTGCCCTTTCTTTGGAGACTTGTGGTTGGGCAGGTGCTGTTGGTGACAGTGTCGTGTTGGATGGTGATGAGGACAGAGTTTAGAGACAGTCCTCGGTGTGGTGGTTTTAAAAGATGGCTGTATAATTTTTGACTATCCTTCCATCAAAAGGTGGGGCTTTGCCCCCTTCCTCTGGGATCTGGGCAGGCTTACAACTGCTTGGACCAGTAGATGATGGTAGACATGAAATCACGTGACATTCCAGGCGAGGTGGTCAAAGACAGTGCAGCTTCTGCCTTTTCCCCAGCACTCTTGCCTTTGGGGCCCTCAGCTGCCATATAAGATATCCAGCCATCCTGAAGCTGCCATGCTGTGAGGATGCCCAGGCTGCGTGGAGAGGCCACATGCAGGTGTTCCCCTTGACAGACCCAGCTGAGCCAAGCCCTCCAGCCATCCCATCCCAGGTTCCTGCTGTAGGACTGAGGATGCTTCCTGATGATTCCAGCCCCCAGGCATCAAGTCACCCTCAGCCGTTTGAGTCTTCCTGGCTGTATCCACAACATCGTGGAACGGACACTGACCGTCTCTGCTGTGCCCTGTGTAATTCCTGACCTACAGAATCTGTATATTGCAGAATGATACACCCCCTTGGAGCCTGGGGATGGTTGGTTGTGCAGCAGTAGGAAATGGGACATCAATCCAGTTTGCTGGCTGCTAATTCTTGGCCTGAGTTAACTGTCTTGCTCTCAGGAAGGGAAACTTTCCTGGGTTCTAACCTTTCTATTTTCTTCTCCACCAAGAAGGGTGCTCAGGAAAGAAAACAAGAAAAGACAATTTCTTGGCTGGGAGACACCATCTGTGATCACCTGTGTCAGAAGTCCTGTCAAATTTCCCCTGAGTCAGCACAATCTCTTTGGTTTACTTCCTAAATTCACTTTGTTTCATATTTTGTTGTTATAGAAAGAATCACATAGCTGCTGCTTGACGTAACATTTGTCTACTGACTGATGCACTCAGGCTTCGCCAGCTGACCTTGATAGGACAGAGCCAGACCCCAAGGGCCCCCTGTTGCTCTGACGCTGATTGGCTCCCCAAGTCATCCATTGGTGTCCTCTAGGAGGGATCTCTGGACCCCCATTTGAAACCACAACTCCTCAAGGAAAGCCTTGAGCCAGCTTCCTGTGTACAAGTGGAGACTTGGTCCTGCCCCGGGAGACATTGGGGTTTTTGGGAAATCTACACTATTCTGAAGCTTCTGGAGGCTAGACCCAGGTCATATGAGGGAGGAGTACAGCCCCCTCCTCGGCACCCAGGGCAGAAGAGGTTACTGCTAGGATCTGGAAGGCTGGAGACTGGGGGCTCACACCTGAAGACCTGGTGAGTTTAATTGACTTGGAGAGCCAGGGATTCTGGGAAGCAGGCCAGTTGTGTCTCTAGTCTCAGACACATCTTGGGCCCACTACTTACTTTGTCACCTGGACAGGTCACTTTACCCCTCTGACCCTGTTACAGCCCCCTCCCGGGAATTCTGAGGATTAGAGATGGTATGTAGCCCAGTGCCTGGGCATTGGGTAAATGACAGCTGTTGACTTCATTGCTCAAGACCCGGAGCAGTTTGTTGTTGAGCTGTTTCACAGTCATTTCCCTGAAAAAAAAGGAGGATTCCCTGATTTGCCCCGGCACTTTCCCATTACATGCTAACTAGCCATCTGCATTTCTGTCTGCTCTCAGCCTGTGTGTTCTCTGAGGGCAGGGGCCAGGTCTTGCTGCTCTAACTTCTAGTAAAGAAGAATACAGTGTTAAAAAGAGTAAGTATGTTGATAGCCATGTGACCAGGCACGATGGACAAGGAAACGGAAACTTAACCTCATGATCATATTAAGGCACATGTTAAATGTGCGAATGTGAAACTTGACTCAGGTTAGTTTTCCTGTAAGGGGGAAAGGGCGAGAAGTGGTCAGTGTCATTTGGCCCAGGGCCTGTCCTGGCAGATTGGGACACTAAGGACCCTGTGAAACACGCTTCCCAGTGTCCATGCTTTTGTGTGGTCCCTTCCACATGGACTTTGAATTTGGCTAGAGGACAGCCACGAATGGTAGGAAAGCAGAGTATGAAGGGGTAGGAGATTAATAGATTTTCATAGACTTCTTGCTCAGCCATGGAATGCTTTATGTAGGGGAACAGAGCAAAAGGCATGAGTGTTTCTGGGTAGAGCCCAGAGGGGAGCCCTCTTGAAGGTGTGTCCAAGTGAGCAGAGCAGCTCACTGGGAGAGCACTGTTGTGTGGAGGAATGGTAAGAAATGGGGAAAGAAAGGTGGGCTAGGGCCAGGCTGTGTGTCAAGGTTTAATTGTCTTTGGATTTTTTTTTTCCCCTGACGCACCAGGGAGCTGCAAGGCAGGACAATGAACCCCCAGTAAAAGAATGTAGAATGGATCACAAAGATGAGATGAGAAGCTCCCTTAGGGACATTCTGTAACAAGTCTGGGCAAGAGAGGGGTGAGGGCAGGACCCAGCACCTGCGGTGAAGGGGGAGAACTAGGTGGATTTGAAAACTATTGAGGGAGAATCAATAAGCTTTGGCAGCCAACTGAGGGGAGGTGGCGAAGAGGAAGTGAAGGAAGAAGCCAGAGATGACTGAGGTTGTCAGTCTGTGTGAATGAGATGTTAGCACGACAGGAACTGTGGTTTTGGGGGCAAGTGAGGAATTTGATGAATTTGCCCAGCCTGGTGAAAACACACATACTTCTGAAGCTTGGGAGAGAGACCCCAGTTAGAATTCAGATGTGGGAGTCTACATCACAGAAGAAAGCCAGGGCCAGTGAGCAGATGGGATGAAAGAGAAAGGGGAGGGGGCCAAGGTCAGAATCCGAGACACCACCAAGTGACTGGTCACCATACTCAGCACTGCAGAGGGTAGGTGCCAGGGTAGGGCCCTAGACCCCCTCCTTCCATTGGATGTCTTCTTCCTTATGGCCTCAGTTTTCTATCTCAAGTGGGTACCAGCTCTGCTCAGTACCCACTGGCCCTGTGCCAAGCCTGCCCATGACTCAGTGCCACGTCCGAGCTGGACGCACACACCCCATCAACATGCAAGCCTCTATGAACAAACCTCTACCGTCTTTTCTGGAAGTTATTGACCCTCCCCCCAAAACATGTACCTGCACCAGACCTGGTTGATTTGACAGTTTCAAAGGGTGTTGTCAATTTCTGATCTCTACTCCCAGGCCCAGGTAAAGAAACTGCTCTAGACCAACTGTCTCCTGGTACAGCTAAGAAAGGAAGAATGACTTGTTATCAGGATGGCAAAAAGGGATCTCTGCTATTCAGTTTGTTAGAGCAGGATCTTCCCTTATCTGCTCTTTGATGGCCCTTATCAGGAACTGAAGAGTGCCACACTCCAGTAATCACTTGGAACTGCTTTCCTCTTCTGCTGGATGAGATAGTCCAAAGGCAATGCACAGGAGGACAGGTGACAGTCTAGGGTCCAGGAACAGATGAAGATGACCTTAGGCGTGGCCTTGGCCACCACTTGCTTGGCCAACCGTCTCATGACACCTTCAACCCCTGAACAGTTCACAGTACAAATTTATTTATGCATGTTTTTATATAGAATACAAACATTCGGGGATACCTCCGCCCAGAACACAGACTCAAGGTTAAGAAGGGTCCAGCCTCAGGGGTGGAAAATGAGTCCTCAGGAGACAGATTGTTGGTCTGGGAGGATCCAGAGGGCCACATGAAGGAGGCGGAGCTCCGAACGGGGAGGCGGGGCCTGAGGTGGTCAGAGCTGGGCGTGGCTTCTGGGCACAGGGTGGGGCCTAGAACTTGGCACGTTCCCGAGCTTGTTACTGGGAGCAGAGGCTGGCGCCTGCAGCCCAGGATTCCGGTGACCCCTCTCCACTGAGGGCAGTGGAAGGCAATGGGGTCCACAGGCCAGGCCTCCTACACGTAAGCGTTTTTCCCGTACTTGCCAAAGCTGCTGTCGCCTTCTTCATCCGAGGCCGCCGTGGGCAGGCGGGCAGCGAGGCTGGTGGACGGCATCACCGGGGCCTTGTAGGGAAGCCGGACACTAGCAGGGGAGGAGGCCTGGGTCAGAGAGAGGTGCGACCCTCGCCCCTCCCCCGCCGCGGCTCACCCACTCTTACCTGGCGGCTGGGTCCTCGTCCCGGGCACAGCAGCAGCTGGAGCAGAGGCAGATGCCGCCCAGGATGGCGAGCAGAGAGGCGCTCCAGCCCAGGTAGAGGGCAGGGCCCAGCTCGTACCTGGGGACAAGGACAACGAGCAGGCGGTGAGCTAGCGGCGCTAGCTCAGGGGTCGAGGTCGAGACCCACCCATTGTCTCAGTGGGTGGGACTCCCACACTCACTTGGTTCCAGGGTACAGGGGGTCGAAGAAGTCCCGGGTGATGTTGAAGGCATACCAAGAGATGGCCACCATCCCGCAGATACCTGTGGGAGGCAGAGGAGGACCGTACTGGCGCCCTAGGCCTGGTGGAGGAAGAGGTGGCCCAGAGAGCAGGTCGTGGGCATCAAGCCCAAGAGCAAGTTTCATTGGATCCCTTGTGTTTCCTCTGCCCAGCTCATCA